GCATTGTTTCTGGGTGTGAAAGTGATTTGTAAATAAATTGCTGTATAAATGTTAGTTATGATGAACAACTAGGTAATGATGTATTTCTATGCACAATTATGTATGTATGTGAGGTGGCTTGTCCTAAATATGAGCGGGTGTGTATATCCTTCAGGGTAATTATGCAAATGTAAAGTGGTGGTGAAGAGCATGCTGTCAATGGCCATGCTGCCTGGGTTTGAATCCTGAATTCAGTATCTACTGGAGATACAATCTTGGGCAAGTTACTTAGCCTCTTTGTGTCTCAGTCATTCTGTCTTTAATATGGGGACAATTAGGCCAGGTGTCTCACACCTGTAATCCTAGCAGACTGGGAGGCTGAGGCAGGAGGATAGCTTGAGCCCAGGAGTTTGAGACCAGCCTGGACAAGATAGCGAGACCCCATCTCTACAGAACAAAAATAAATAAATAAATAAAAACAACAGGGATAATTAGCTGGGCATGGTGGGGTACCACTGCACTCCAGCCTGGGTGACACAGCAAGATGACCCCCTCTCTAAAATAAAAAAATTAAAAATAAAAAAATAAAATGGAGATAATACCGACTCCATTGGATTGCTGTGAAGGTTAAAGTGAACTAAGTTATGTAAAACTCTTAGAACATCCCCCAGCACATGGTAAGTGTTCAACAAATGTTTTTTATTTTGTGTATCTATGTGAGCATGTTAATCTTTCTCATCCTTTTAACAGGAAGAGCAGGTGGCCAGGCACGGTGGCTCACGCCTGTAATCCCAGTACGTTAGGAGGCCAAGTGGGGAGGATCACTTGAGGCCAGGAGTTAAATATTAATAATAATAATAATAAAAGGAGGAACATTGTCTGACCCTTCCTCCATTAGAGGGGCTTTGTGACTCTGTCCATCCTTTCGGTCTGTTTGCAGACACTTAACTTTGGTAACTGTGAGCATCTGGAGTGCTTGAGGAAGCTGGGCTCGCTCAGAGCCAGGGCCCCATTCTCACAGGGAGCCCTGGGAGGGGAGGAGCGACACACATCTAGTTTGCATCCCTCCATCGATGCTTCCAGGACACTCCTGGGGTGGCAACGCACCCATTGTGCCCCTGGGTCACTCAGATAAAATATCAGCTGAGCCAGGAGGGAACCATTGAGGGTGGGGGTAGAGAGAAGTAGGTCACTCTCAGAGTCCATCCTAGAGCCAGGGGCAGGGAGGGGCAAGGCGGGGGTGGGAGCGGTTTATAAGGGAGGCTCTGCAAGCTCAGGTCAGAGAGAGGTGTCATTCCAGCAGCAGTGGCAAGCTTAATTCCCCATCCTCTTCTGCAGGGTCAGCCTGCCCTCCCACCTACCCCACTCCCTTGCTGCTTCTGATGCTGCTGGGAGGGCTGTTCCAGTGCATCCCACCTCTGGGAGGCACCTCTGGGAGATGCTGGGCTGCCAGGCAGGTTGAGCAGGTTTGAGAGAAGGTGGGAGGGGCCCTGACTTGGGGGAGGGACCTGGGCCTGGGATGGAGCAGGGTTTCTCAGGCACCCAGGCAGGTGGCAGCCTGAGGAGGGGTGCACATGTGCTCAGAGCCACAGCATAGCCTGAAGGGGGATAGGGGAGCTAAGACAGGCTGAACTCCACCCCTGGGCTGCACAGCTCCGTTCCCAGTATAGGCCCTATGTCTCAGAGACCTGCAGAAGTCAGAGATTCTGAATGCAAAACTGGGATGTAGGGTCAGGCAAGGGCTTGTAAGACTCATGGGCAATGTAATTTAAAATGAGACCTACCACTCTACCCCCTCCATGAGGCATGAGCACATGCACCTGGGAAATCATCACATGTCGGCTTGTGTGTATTCATCACACAAACACACACTGTCACACACATCACCCACAGGCACGTGTACACAATCGTGAACTCATAGATACTCGTGGGCACAGACACCACACAGGGATGGTGCTGGAGCCCAGAGTGCTCTCTCTCGCTTTCCAGGTTCAGAAATCAGATCCTGGGAGTTTAAATAGTGTGACCAAGGGCCACCTTTGGAGGGTCCCCAAAGAGAGACCCTCTTCAGGCTTTTCTCTCTTAAGAAGCCACTCTTTTTTTTTTTTTTTTTAATTTTAGAGCAAACATCAGCCAGAAGCCACTCTTGCCTAATGCCCTGCAGCCATGCCCTCCCTCCATATGTCTTTTGTCCCTCTGTGGAGTGGCTGGCCTTCCAATACTGCCACATTTGTGTGCACACCTGAGGTCTGACCCCTTCCAGGACTCCGACTTGGGGGTTCCTGGAGGGCTAACTCCTCCCTGATCAGGGTTTTTGCCCCAGGGACACTGCTTTATTTATTTATTTATTTTTATTTTATTTATTTTTTTTGAGACAGAGTCTCGCTCTGTCACCCAGTCTGGAGTGCAGTGGTGCGATCTCGGCTCACTGCAAGCTCCACCTCCTGGGTTCACGCCATTCTCCTCCCTCAGCCTCCTGAGTAGCTGGGACTACAAGCGCCCGCCACCAGGCCTGGCTAATTTTTTTTTGTATTTTTAGTAGAGACAGGGTTTCACCATGTTAGCCAGGATGGTCTCGATCTCCTGACCTCCTGATCCGCCAGCCTTGCCCTGGGATTACAGGCTGTGAGCCACCACACCTGGCCGGGACACTGCTTTAGAAGGGAGTCAGTGAGTTCCGGCGAGGAGGCCAAGAAAGCTGAGGCGGAGGTGGGCAGGAGGGCTGCGGCAGTGAGGAGAGCCTTGGTTTGGGCAGGCGTCTCACATTGAGGCTGGCCACCCAGCTCCACATGCCTCCTGCACACAGACACCTCACCTGGAGGGGTGTGAGGAGCAGAGAGGAGGAAGAGCATGGGGCAAGTTGGTGAGATGAGCCATATGGGCACATGTAGGGGAAGGTGCAGGTGACAGTCTTCCTATTTTATTTTGGGGGTAAGTGGATATATGTAATACTTGTCCCCAGATACTCATGCTTATACACACACAGGTTCTCACACACATGAAAACATTCTTAAAGTAGACACACCATATGGACCTGGAATTTCACCCACAGATGCCCACTGTCACCCCTCACCCTCAGCCCCTACACTGCCCTGCTTCTCACACACATGTGCTCACTCTCACATGCCGGCCGATGCCCAGCTTCTCTGGCTCAGGCTCTGAACAGACAGAAGAATGTGATAAAATCGACAGCTGAAAACTGTCCTGAGAGCAAAGCTGTACTTTGTTGAGAAACCTGAGCCCTTATTGGAGGAATACAAGTGTCTGTGTCTGGGGGCTCGGGGAGAGGGGAGGTGGTGGGGTGGTCTCCCAGGGCGCCTGTAGCCACTGGGCTGTTTCCATCATAAAAAAAAAAAAAATGATGAAAGGAGCCGGTCAGTGAGAGCATGGCTGTGAGTAAATAAAGCTGCCACCTTTGACCCTTGGAGGCCAGAGCTCATCCCATAACGAATGCTCATTAGGGAGGGGCTGCTCAGTCCCAGCCCAAGTTCTCCAACACCAGGGGCCCAAGGCCAGACTCCCAAGGGGGAGGGGGTATGAGAACCCCTGTGTGAGGCTAGGGGACCTGTACAGGGAGTAGGGGGTGGAGAAAGGAACAGGGGATGTGGGAGGGGGTTGGGGACATTAGGGAGAGGATGATGGTCATCAGGGAGGGATGAGGACTGGCAGGAGAGCTCTGACTTCTGGCTGCCCCTCCCTGGACTCCTCTCTCTGCAGCCTTTCCAGGTCTCTTCCGCTCTTGGGCTCTGAAACAAGCATACATCCCCCTTCTCCTGCTTAAGGCTCGGTGTGCTTATTTTTCTAATCATCAGGAACTACAGGCAAACACGGGTTAGCAAAAATAACAAACACAGGGCAAACTACAAAGTCACCAGGAATCCCAGAAAGGTTGAGAAGTGGTTGATTCTGGCTTTGATTCAGAAATAAAAGTATTGGCCAGGCACGGTGGGTCATGCCTATAATCCCAGCACTTTGAGAGGCCAAGGCAGTTGGCCTGCTTGAGCTTAGGAGTTCGAGACCAGCCTTGGCAATGTGGCAAATTGAAGAAAGAAAAAGAAAGGAAGGAATGGAGGGAGGGAGGGAAGGAGGGAGGGAGGGAGAGAGGGAGGGAGGGAGAGAGGGAAAGAAGGGAGGAAGGAAGGAAGGAAGGAAAAGAAGGAAGGAAGGGGAAGGAGGGAAGGAAGGCCAGTGGGAAGAAGGAAGAAGAAGAAGGAGGGAGAGGAAGGAGGGAAAGGGAGAAAGAAGGAGAGGAGGGAGGTGAAGGAACGGAAGGAAGGCAGAGGGCAGAGGAGAGAGGAGGGGGAAGGAGGAGAGGGAGAGAAGGGGTAAGGTAAGTAAGGACAAGAAAGAGAGGGGTGTTGTTTTGAAGGGAAGAGGGAAGGAGCGAACGAAAAGTGAGAAGGGAGGGAAGGAAGGAAGGGAGGGGATGGACGGGAGGGGAGGAGGGAGGGAGGGAGGGAGGAGGAAAGAAAGGAAGAAGGGAGGGAAGGAAGAGGAAGGAGCAGAGAGGAAAAAAAAGGGAGAAAGAAAGAAAGAAAAAGAAAAAAGAAAAAGAAGAAAAAAGAAAGAAAGAAAGAAAGAGAAAGAAAGAAAGAATTGCCAAACCCACATCCCATGGGTCTGTCTCAAACTCCTTTCCTACAGATCTGTTCAGCTCAGCACCGGGCAGTCCTGGCTTAGAACAAAGCTCAATAAAGTTGACTGCATAGACAAATAAGTGGGTATACAGATAAATGCATGGGTGGATGAATGAAAGAAGGCTCTTGGTCATCAACCCCGACTCTGTCTGGGTTCAAACTTCAAGCACTTATGTGGGCCTGGCCGCTCTGTGGGGCCAGGCAGGATCCTCTTCCCCTTCTCTGCAGCTGACCTCTGGGCCCCCTCCCCGCAGGGCTGACATTCACTTTATTCTGTAGTCACCTTGGCTCTTACAGGCTCACCTGGTCCAGTCTCAAGAGAAGAAAGCACTTTGCGATGTGGCTCTGAAAGACTCCGGCCCTGCGTGTCTCTTCATCCTCTGTGGAGCCAGCAGCCGCTCCCTTTGTAGCCAGAGGCTACTATGTGGCCACTAAGTAGGTCCTGGAAAGTCCTATTTTGGCTAATTTTAATGAGTGATATGATAATAAAATGTAGCAATAAACAAAGTTTTCACCAAAAGACAAGAAGACTCCCAGGTTTTATATCAGGACATACAGGCAACAGTGACAAGAAACAGATCACTATACTTCCCAACCCTGCCACCCCATCTGTCCCTGACTTAGAAGGAGGAATAGAAAGGGGAAGTTCAAGAAAAGCATCCCTATTTTTCTGTAAAGGTGAGGTTGCTGGAGGAAGCCCAGCACAAGGACACTCCAGGCAAAACAGAGTTAGCAGGACGCCAGTCCTCGGCTTGGGGGGCTGTCTCTGTCCCATAAGACATGCCTGTAGCCACATGCCCAGAACTTGGCCTTTCTTTATGCCCCAGACCCAATGCTTATTTTCCTTGAATCCCTGAGAGTGACCTGGCTGGGTCTTTGTCCCTGGGGGAAATAGGGAAGCTGAACCCCCAAATGGGGAGGAGGAATCCAAGGTAGCTGACCCCTGTATGTTCCCACTGGATGCTTGGTCTGCACCAATGGCCCCCTCCTGGCCAAATTTCTCTTGCTGCATCAGATGAAGGAGAAAACCAGATGGGTTCAGCTTCAAAAACCAGCCAAAGACCTAGGAGACAGAGGCATCGCAGAAGTCAATCACCATTTTTTGCCTCCCCTGTTAGAGTTCCCTCAACTCAACTCCAGCCTGAATCATCGCCAACTTTTCCTAAGTTACTCTGGGACAGACACTATTCTGTGGGCTTTACATGAATTTAACCCTCACAGGTGCTCTATGAAGAGGTGCTGTAATTATCCCCAGTTCCAGATGAGAAAACTGAGGTCTAGAAAGGTCAAGTTACTGGTCCAAGGTCACCCAGTTATTGTTGTTGTTGTTATTATTATTATTATTATTATTAAGACGGAGTCTCGCTCTATCGTGAGGCTGGAGTGCAGTGGCGCGATCTCAGCTCCCTGCAACCTCCGCCTCCCGGGTTCAAGCAATTCTCCTGCCTTCACCTCCCGAGAAGCTTGGACTACAGGCACCTCCCATCACGCCCAGCTATTTTATTTTTTATTTTTAGTAGAGATGGGATTTCACCATGTTGGCCAGGATGGTCTCGGTCTCTTGACTTCATGATCCGTCCGCCTTAGCCTTCCAAAATGCTGGGATTATAGGCGTGAGCCATGGCGCCCAGCCCAGTTTTTATTTTTTTATTTTTATTTTTATTTTATTTTATTTTATTTTATTTTATTTTATTTTTCGAGACGGAGCCGTGCTCTGTGGCGCAGGATGGAGTGCAGTGGTGCAATCTCGGCCACTGCAACCTCCGTCTCCTGGGTTCAAGCAATTCTGTCTGGAGTAGCTGGGATTACAGGCACACGCCACCACACCTGGCTAATTTTTGTATTTTTAGTAGAGACTTATTGGGCAGGCTGGTCTCAAACTCCTGACCTCAGGTGATCTGCCTGCCTCAGCCTCCCAAAGTTCTAGGATTATAGGCGTGAGCTACCGCTCCCGGCCTTGCCCGGTTTTTAAGTGGAGGATTGGAATTGGCACCCCAGTCATCTGGCTTCTAGGTGGCTGGCAGGTATCTGAGTCTGGTTTGGGGACAGGAAAGCACAGGCTCAGGATCAGATTGGAAGATGAGTGAGTATCTCCAGCTAGCTTCCCTGGAGCTCTGCTGCCAGGACCCCTATCGGACCCACAGCAGGTAGAGGCACAGCCCTTTCACGAGCAGCACCAAGGTCTCCTCTGTGCTGACAGAAAGGTACAAACACATCCCTCTCCCTTCCCCATTTTACTGAACTCCTACCTTCTCAGCAACAAAAAACTTCATCAACATTAAACACCACCATGATGTATGTTTACATCAATCATAATGCCTCATCCCTTAATCTTTATTAACATTAAAACCAGCAGTGGCTCACACCTGTAATCCCAGCACTTTGGGAGGCTGAGGCAGGTGGATTGCTTGAGCTCAGGGGTTCGAGACCAGCCTGTGCAACATGGTGAAACCCTGTCTCTACAAAAAATACAAAAATTAGCCAGACATGGTGGTATGCACCTGTAGTCCCAGTTGCTCAAGAGGCTGAGGTGGGAGAATCCCCTGAGCCTGGGAGTTTGAGGCTGACGTGAGCTGCGATCATACTACTCCATTCCAGCTGAGCAGCAGAGTGAGACACACACACAAGCTAAAACCTGTGCTTTTTCTGAGTTTAGCCTGTTAAAGTATACTGTCTTCTTCAAATTTTTAAAAATTTAACATGCTTTTTCTTTTTTTTTTTTTTAAGATAAGATCTGGCTGTATCGCCCAGGCTGGAGGGACGCCACCTTGGCTCATTGCAACCTCCACCTCCCAGGCTCAAGCCATCCTCCCACCTCAGCCTCCTGAGTAACTGAGACTACAAGCATGGCACCACCACACAAAGCTAGTTTTTTTATTTATTGTAGAGATGGGGTGTCGCCATGTTGCCCAGGCTTGTCTCAAACTCATGAGCTCAAGTGATCTGCCCACCTCAGCCTCCCAAAGTGCTGGGATTACAGGCATGAGCCACTGCACCCCGCATGCATTGTTGGTTTTTATATTTTTTAAAAAATTGAGACAGGGTCTCGTTCTGTCTCCCAGGCTGGAGTGCAATGGCACAATCACAACTCCTGGGCTCAAGCAATCCTCCCACCTTAGCCTCTTGAGTAGCTGGGACTACAGGCATGTGACACTACGCCTGTTTTGCCTTTTTTTTTTGTTTTTTCCTGTAGATAGCAGGGGTTTCACCCATGTTGCCCAGGGATGGTCGAACCTCCCCTGGGCTCAAGCCAATCTACGCCATTTGGCTCAATGGTTCTGGGATTGACAAAAAAAAAGGTGGTGAGAGTTTTCCCCAAAACTTCCTGGGCCTAGCCTCATTCTTAGTTTTATAGGGGACTTAAAAAATCTACACTAAATTTATTTTAAATAGTAAAGCTTTTTGCAAAACACAGATTTATTGTAATGTTCTTTTCCGCCCATTTTCTAACCACCTATACTTAAATTCTAGGTGCCGATTAGTGTTTATTTCCTAGGATACTCCTAATTCTTGTCCCCATTGATTTAAGTGCCATTTGATACCCCTACTCTAAAACATGCATTCCATTAATCTACCTATAAGCAAAATGATTTTAACCATCTGGCCAAATTGCCCTTCTTTAGAAAATGATTTTGAGCGGGACGGGCAATAGGGTGGCCCACGCCTGTAATCACCAGGCACCTTTGGAGGGGATGTAGCGCAGGCCCCCGGATCACAAAGGTCTCAGGAGATTCACAGCACCATGCCTGGCTACACCACATGGTGAAACCTGTCTCTACTCAAAAGTAAGCAAAAAAAAACCACCAATTAGCGCGCCATGGTAGGTGGGTGCCTGTAGTCGCCAGCTCTTGGGAGGCGAGGCAGGAGAATGACGTGACCCCAGAGGCCGGAGCTTGCAGTGACAGCGGAGACAATCACGTCACTAGCACCCAAGCCCTGGGCGACCAAGAGCGGCGAGACTCCCGTGCTCAAAAAAAAAAAAAAAGAAAAGAAAAGAAAGAAAATTATTTGACAGGTTCACCTATTTACTCTTTCATGTGAAATGTAGAATCTTCTTGTTTTTCTGAGTTCCAAGAAAATGAGTTTTTGGTTAGTAGGGCATTAAGTCTATGAATTGCCTTGGGAAATACTGATATTTTATAATGCGTCTTCACCTAGAATGTGGCACACCGCACCATTTTCCTGTGTTGTGTTTAGCAGTTTGATGGGCTGTGTGCTATTCCTTTGTGCTGATATCCCCTAGTTGACTTAACCATTTCCCCAGTGTTGGGTATTTGGATTGCTTCCAAGGTTGAACTATTATGAATAGTGCTGCTATAAACATCTTTGTACAAATTGCTTTTTCATTTTCTTGGGATATGGTCCCAAAAGTGGGATTATCTGATCAAAGGATATGAACAGTACTGTGGCTTTTGTTACATAACCCAGGGAGGATGGAACCAATTTGCAGCACCACCAGCAACATATGAAGAAATAGCTACTTTTCCCTTACAAACCCTTAAGCAGCATGAAGACTTAAAAGGGTAACTTGTTCCTAAGAGAAACAAACCACAGCTACCTGAGGACAAAAAGGGGAGTTTGAGAGCACAGGGTTTTTTGTTGTTGTTGTTGTTTTGTTTTGTTTTTTTGCTTTTTTGTTTTTTTTGAGACAAGAGTCTCTCTGATGCTCAGGCTAGAGTACAGTGGCACAATCTCCGCTCACTGCAACCTCTGCCTCCCAGATTCAAGGGACTCTTGTGCCTCAGCCTCCCATGTAGCTGGGATTACAGGCATGCACCACCACACCTGGCTAATTTTTGTATTTTTAGTAGAGATGAGATTTGCCATGTTGGCCAGGCTGGTCTTGAACTCCTGGCCTCAAGTGATCCGCCCACCTCAGCCTCCCAAAGTGCTGGGATTATAGGCACCAGCTACCACGCCCAGCTGAGAGCACAGAGTTCTAAGGAGCACGGATCTCACAGCCAGAGGCAGGTTGCCCACCTCTCTCCCTACCTGTGGCAGCCCTGCTGCCCCAGACCTTTTCAGAACCCAGTTCCTTGTCAGTGTGGGAACCTGGTTTATTCTTATTTATTTAGCATATATTTAATAATATTATATTATGTGATGGGTACTAGTCAAAGCACATTACAAATACTAACTCACTGACTTCTCATAATAAGCTCATGAAGTAGATCATAATTACTGTTATCCCGTTTTACTGATGAGAAAACTGAATCAGATAAATTTTCTTTTTCTTTTGTTTTTGAGACGGAGTCTTGTTCTGTTGCCCAGGCTGGAGTGCAGTGGCGTGATCTCGGCTCACTGCAACCTCCACCTCCCAGGTTCAAGCAATTGTCCTGTTTCAGACTCCCAAGTAGCTGAGACTACAGGTACATGCCACCATGCCCAGCTAATTCTTGTATTTTTAGTAGAGATGGAGTTTTACTATGTTGGCCAGGCTGGTCTTGAAATCCTGACCTCAGGTGATCCGACTGCCTCGGCCTCCCAAAGTGCTGGGATTACAGGCATGAGCCACCACTCCCGGCTGAGTTAGAGAAATTTTCTCTGGGTCACATAGCTAGTAGGATTCAAGCTGGGGCAGCAGTCTGACATGAAATTGTTAACCATGTGCACCACTCCATTGACTAGGAACAGGCACTTCAGCTTGTAGTTGCCCTTCTTTTTGTGGGTCCTGCCTTTGTCCCAGCAGCCCCAATCCTAAGGAGGACCCTAAGTCTTCCTGTCCTGGGTTTCAGACCTTCTTACACTGGCCTTCTAGTTACTTCTGTCTCTCATACAGCCACCATCTGTGGGATCCTGCCAAGTGCCAGGCATTGAGCTAAGCACTTTTACATCTTTCGATTTGTTTTAACTTTCACCACAATCATATGGGATAGGTAGCATATCTCCGTTTTATAGGGGAGGAAACAGTAGATCAGAGAGGTTAAGTGCGTTACCCAAGACCACACAGCTAGTGAAGTGGCAGAGGAAGAATTTGAGCCCAACTGGCCAAATATCAATGCCTTTGGTTTTTCAATTATACTTGGCTCCAATCTGGCTCCACTCTGGCTCCCTGAAGCCCCA